CGTTATAAAATTTTGTAATATTTTTAAGTGGCCAAGAAAGCTCCTCCTGAGGAACGGGCACCACCTAAAGCAAAAGAACCTCCAGCACCCAAAGGTAACACACACACAAAATCATGTCAGTAATGTGCTTTGTCTAGAGAGCGTCATGTATATATTTTGTTGGTCCATTTCACATAAGAATTATATGGGTTTCATGCACATTAATATCTTGAGGGACTGTCGCCATGTATTGGCCCCTCTTTCAATCTTCTGCCAGTAATGTTGTCAGTTCCTCAGTCTCTTTTACTGTCTCATTCATGTTTTATATATGGTAAATAATAAATCAGTATTTTTAAACGGAACTGAATTATATTCAAAATATATTCCTGTCATTCTGAGATGGAACCACATGCAATATTCCTACCTTTGTTTGTTGTCTTTAAGTGACCGAAGTACACAAGAAAAAGGTTGTCACTGAAGAAAAAGTAACAGTCACTAAGAAGGAGGAGGCTCCACCAAAAAGAGGTATATAAAGTTTTAAATTCTGTGGAATTTATATATATGTATCTTAAGATTTCTTGGGAACTAAAGAACTGCACAGCAAATGCAAGAAACCCAGGGGACTCCGTCCTCAAATATCTCCCTCCATGACGCAGAGCAAACCACTTTTGAAACCAAATGAGCTTTCAAAGGCTATTTGTGATATAGCATAGGAGAGGAATATAGCAGGGGGAGAAAGAATTTATTGTTCAAACAAAAAAAGTTGTTTTTAGGCATGCCAAAGGTAACTCTTTGCATCCTTCTTTTGCCCTAGTGATCGAATTATCTTAAATAGTCTGCGTTTCCTTTTCTTGTTTTATGTACAATGTCAAGATCTCGGTACTTTGAATCGTTTTGTTACCTGGTTTATATTTGTCACATGTACGTGATTTAAGTCACCTGAAAATTAATAATATCTTTCAAGTGCCAGCTGTGCCAAAGAAAGCTGTGCCAGAGGAGAAAGTCCCCGTTCCGGTTCCCAAGAAAGCAGTGGCTCCACCAGCTAAAGGTACACCTGCTTTCTCTGACTCTACAAGAGGGCTTTTGAATAGGTCAGAAACAGGCACCCGCTGGAGTTGTGAACCAGCTGCTTCTGATAAGGGAAAAGTAAACTTGACTAAATTTCACAGAAATGTTCTGCTCTGTGTCAAAACAAATGCAGAATATTAGGGTTAAACTGGGACACTTGAAACGCTGGTGTTAATGAATTCCTGTAGGCACTTTGCCTGCACAACTTCGAACAGCTGGCCTTTGCTGATCTGCAGCAGTTCATTGTGTTGACTGTGTAGTTTGTAAGGTCTTTTGCGATATTATTTTTATGTGGGTAAAACTGCCATGTGCTTTAGACTTCTTATTGCATTCTTGTTTTGTGAGGCATTTCTCTGTCACTGTTAAAAGCTGTCCTGAATCTTAACGTCCTTCTTGAAAGTTTTCTGTAGTGTACACTCTTTTGGACCTTTTTTTTTTAAAAGAAGAAAGAAAGAAAATAAATGATTTTATAAATATTATTTCTGTTTAAAAATCTGCAGTGAATATTTTACATTATGACGCCTTTGGATAAGAAATAACTATTTCTGTTCTTGAAAAAGAGCAAATTCCATAAACCAAAAGCAGGCCAGTTAATTATCTAAGTGTATTGTCAAGTTTTTGCTAAATGTATGTCTGCTTAATATTATGTTGTCATGTTGGTCTCCTGTATTAGAAAATCTTGAGATATCAAATGTCTATGAAGTTTTCTTTGTCTATAATCCTCTTACAAGACCACCAACAGCGACACTTCAGAGAGAGGGTTTTAAATTCACCACGTGGTTTTCTTACATTTCCTATCTTTCAAGTGCCAGAAGTTCCAAAGACAGTTGTCTCAGAAGAAAAAATATCTATTGCTGTCCCCAAAAGGAAAGCAGCCCCTCCAGAAAAAGGTATACAAGCTTTGAAGTAAACTAAATCAAAGTCCAAGTGGTTAATGTGCTAACAACCCACCTATTAATTCCTATATCCAACCCTAAGTTATTAAGCAAATTCTTTTTTTCTGCTCCAAATACATTTGAGAGGATATTGCTTTGGGCACTCCCCTCCCCCAATTTATTTATTTTATTTTATTTTATTTAAACCTAGAAGGCTTGCCATAAAAGTTACATTTGTTTTGTAACTGCTTAATCATTCTTATCGAAATTCCCGTTGTCTGACTCAAATAGTGTTTCCCATAAGAAATGCTAAAGTTCAATACTCTGTCTTTAATAATAGTTGTGGAAGAGCACTGGGGGTATTCGGAAGAAATGTCTGTTTCTCTTCATACAGAGGAGGAAGTTTCATATACAGGTATGAGCTCAACCAGGGTAGGGGAACAGGAATCCTAACCAATTCACTGTATAGATTAATGGGCAGGGTGAGAACGTAAAATGAACCTACTAGATCAGGCCAATGACCCATCTAGTCCAACATCCTGTTTTCACAGTGTTTCATGAGATGCCTTTGGGAAGCGTGTGGCATAGTTGTCAACTTTTCCCTATTCTTGCGAGGAATCCTATTCGGAATAAGGGAATTCCCCTTTAAAAAAGGGAAACGTTGACAGCTATGGCATGTGGGTATCACCTCAGTTTTCACTTTTATATTAAAATGAGGTGTATCTAAAGGTGTTCTACTGATCCATTAGAGGCTTCCATCAGCCAAACGGTGAGGAAAGTGATTTTTGCCAAATCCCTCTTGTTCTTGTAGCCGCCATGCCTCTGCGCCACAAATGTGCTCTGCAGGAGGTGGCATGGAAGATGCAGAGGGGAAGGCAATTTGGTGTAAACTGATGTTTCCTTCCCTGTTCTGACGACAGAAGCCTCCACTTTCTAAAAAACAAAACAAAAAAAACACACAAAACCTCCCGTCGGTAGAGGTGCATCTTTGGAAACAACCCAGTCTGTCTTTTTCTTACATTAGCAGAATTATTAGTTCTAGAACTAAACCAGTGTGAATGCTAATTCACTAAAGAAGTTCACTGATATAAAACAGTGGTGCAGGATAGTATTCATGTAAGAATTGCTGAGGGTGTTCAACTTCATTCATAGTGAGGCAAAAAAGAAGCAGTTTGTTGGCCTAAACCACAGATAACAGTGGACATTTGGTTGTTTGGCTCCCCACACCCTCCAACAGAGTAAATTTCACAGCTTGCATAAATTATTGGTTTGTTTGTTCATTTTTGGCTTGGATGACTGCTACAGTTGTCCCATCCCATAAAGCTGAAGGCTTAAATCTTCCCACATAATCTCTTCTAGAATGTAGAAATTTCTTCAAAATGTCAGTAACCTAAACAGAGACTTGGCATAATACCCACTTAATGTAACCAGACTTTCAATGACTTCCACCCCTTTGATTTACCATACATAGCAGCTTGCAATGAAAGTCCCTATGTATTATCTTGAAAAAATACTGTAGATTACTGTCTAGAGTATTTCTAAGTAATAGCACCTGAAGAAATGGGCAGCTTTCCAATATGATAGACATATAGACTCCACTGATCCTAACAACAAAATGGTGTATATGCACTACACCAGTAAGAAGACGGATGTATAAAGACTATACCTGCAACTATGCGTTAGCCACATCTTGTCCAAATGTTTGTTCATTTGTCTGGCAACTTAAATGTTTGTTTCTGTCAAATTTCCTACTGCTCTTTATGGCCTTCTGTACCTTTACCATCAAAGTTCTGAAACATAAATATACTGTGTCTTTAAAGTTCCCGAAGAACCTGAGAGAATTCCCACAAAACAGAAAATGCCCATATCAATTGCCGCTAAAGTGAAGAAACCTCCAGCTAAAGGTACATTTAATATTGTGCCAATGTGTGCTCTTTGTGTGCCATAAGTGTATACTTATGTATACGTCTGCTGATATATATCTGAGTGTTCTTGTCCTAGCTTGATTCTTTCATTGCACTGAAATTTGGTTCTTAGTATGCGTTTAATAATATGTTAGCTAAGACTCTTGAAAATTCGTATTTTTTAAGTGCCTGAAGTCCGTAAGACCATTACTCGAAAAGAAGTGGTTCATGTGGAAGTTCCCCAATATGAAGAGGAGGAAGAGGCTCCCCAATATGAAGAGGAGGAAGTCACACAATATGAAGAGGAAGTCACACAATATGAGGAGGAAGTCACACAATATGAGAAAGAAGTCTCTCATTATGAGGAGGAAGTAACCCGATATGAGGAAGAAGTCACACAATATGAGGAGGAAGTACCTCAATATGAAGAGGAGGAAGTTCCTTATTATGAAGAAGTTCCTGAGTATGAGGAAGAGGAAGAGGTGCCTCCTCCACCTCCTCCAGCTAAAGGTAACATCCCAGTTTACAAGCGCATTACAAAGAAAGGATCTTTTTTTTAATGCTCTTGGTTAGGCTTTGGCTTTTGTTCGCTTGGTTATTTATTTGGTTTTTGCTTTCGGTTCATTTTGCTCTCCTTTGTTATGAGATGTGTGCGGTGCAGCTCATGTTGCAAGTAGAAATAGCTGTAGTTGAATTAGAGAATATGCCAGAAACACAGGGCTTGTCCACGCTAGGCAGTGTCTTTAGTTCTAGCAAAACTCTCAGGAATATATTTCATTTCCACCCAGACTTCTCCAAGCTGAATAAAATGTCAATTCAGCAAGCTAGTTGTGTGCCAAAACCCTGTGACACCACAGTTCCCAGAGAGTAAATAACCAGAGAAGACAACAGCATATAGTTTGGGGGTAAAATAGATTACAAAAATATGTACAGAACATCTGATAGCATTGTCCTATGCTCTACTGAATAGTGAGATCAGGAAGAAAATGTCTATCCGATAGTGTCCCCATGTTCTTCCATTGCCAACCACCCCTCTCCATGTGCCGAGCAATATATCTTAACCATAGAGGAGATGGGAAATTTCTCCTCCATGACCTTCCCTTAAATAACTTATCTTTGAATCTTTGCTTTTGAATTACTCTCCCCTCCCAGCATCAGTGTCCCCATCTGCGGAAGGACTGTGGCTTTGTGGTAAAACATCTGCTTTGAATGTAGAAGGTTCTAGTTTCAATCCCTGGCATTCCCAGGCAGGACTAAGAATGTCCCGTTTGTCATTATACAGCCACACCTTGGAAGTCGAATGGAATCCGTTCCGGAAGTCCGTTTGACTTCCAAAACGTTTGGAAACCAAAGCTGCGGAAGCCCCATCAGACATTTGGCTTCCAAAAATAGTTCGCAAACCGGAACAGTCACTTCCGGGTTTGCGGTGTTTGGGAGCCAAAACATCCGAGTACTATGGCGTTCGGGACCCAAGGTATGACTAATTGACAACGAGGAGCTAGATGGACCCAGTGGTCTGGCTTGATTACAAAAAAACAGCTATGTATGCCCCATTTCACTGTATTCAGGAAGAAGCCCCAACACTCTGGAGAGGACTTTCAGGGGATGCAAGTGGCTGCAAGGGGGAAGAGGGAGCAAGCAACTTTCCTTAAGTTAACTTAGCTTGCGGGGGTCATGTCAGAGCGTTGCAATACAGCTGTGTTCTTATGGTGCATCTTGGTGCGTCCATTCTTTTAAATACAATCCTATCCTTCAAGTGCCTGAGGTACCAAAGAAGCCCGTCCCTGAGAAAAAGGCTCCTCCTGCACCTGTCCCCAAGAAGAAGGAAGCTCCTCCAGCAAAAGGTACATCATCTCTTCATTCGGTGTCCTCAAACTCTTGCTTTCAGTTCATTAAGTTTGTTGGCTCAGTGGCGTTAGTGGGCTGGGAATCAACTGTAGACATGGCCTTTGTTGACTCTCTGTTTTAATGTGCTGTGTGAAAGGTGTGGTGTCCTCAACAATCTCTTGCCCTATCTTTAAAGTGCCTGAGGTGCCAAAGAAACCCGTCCCAGAAGAAAAGGTTCCGGTTCCTAAACGAAAAGAAGCCCCACCAGCTAAAGGTAAATCAGTGTGAGGCTTGCCCTGTGCAAATAAACTTATCTATTAGGCTACGACTAGGCTATTAATTGCAATGACGTACTTAGATTTTCCTGTTGTGTTGATGTTGTGTCATGACCCACTCTGGGCACATTTATGTGGTAAAATTGCTGTGCAAACTAAAAAAAAAAACCTGTGTTAATAGTCCTTTGATCCTGTTAAATGTAACTTCTTGTTTATTTTCTTCGACAACAAAAAATCTTCTTGTGTTTTGTGTCACTGTTCGCCATCTTCATTTGGAAACCAAATTCTATGCTCAAAGTACTGTCTCTTTCAATTGAAGTGCCTGAAGTGCCCAAGAAAGTGGTCCCTGAAGAGAAAATACCTGTTCCTAAAAAGGTGGAAGCTCCTCCCGCTAAAGGTATTGCCCCCTTGTTCACCTGGTCATCCTTTTAAGCCTGGAAACTTGGGTTTCCAGGTGGGTTTTTTGGGGGGACTACAATGCCCATCATCCCTGGCCACTGGTTCTGCTAGCTAGGGATGATGGGCATTGTAATCCAAAAACAGCTGGTGACTCAAGTTTGGAGAGCCTTGTTATAAGCAATTGACCTGCTACGTTACATAGCAGGGCTGCAGTTTGTTGAACCTCTCCCTGGGTGGTCAATACCATGAAGGGTGGGCCTGTAAATATAAATATTAAAGAAACATTATATGAGTGAGAAAAACCTGGTGGTTTCATTAAGAGCAGATCTGAAAATTCCCTTGCCCTTGTGGTTCAGATGCAGCACATTCTTCTTTTAGTTCTTTTGCTTTGTGGTGTCTAAATACTAGAAGGAGTCAAATCAATCTGCAAATTAATCTTTTTAAAGTGCCGGCCGTGCCGAAAAAAGCCGTGCCAGAAGAGAAAGTGCCTGTTGCGGTCCCCAAAAAACCAGAGCCCGCTCCACCTAAAGGTATCTGAAATAATATTTGAAAGTTATAAATTATACATACATGTGTAAGTGCTTTACCCATGGTTTAACACAGAGATATGTGCAGAATATTTCAACAAGCAATATTAACCATGCAGAATCAACAAGGATGTGTAGATTTGCAACCACAGACACACCCACCCGAGATATCAATGGTTTTTGTGTTTTATCTTCTGCTACATCTGTTCTTTATTTTTTGTGATACAATGTGCATACAAAGTCTGTTTCTTGGTGTCTTTAAAGTGCCTGAGATACCCAAGAAAGCTGTGTCTGAAGCAAAGGTGCCTCTTACTGTGCCCAAAAAACCAGAACCTCCACCAGCTAAAGGTATATCAACCCAGTCAAAATCAGTCTTCTTGATCTCATGTGTTTCTTTAATCTTAGATGTGATGCTTGTGTATGTCAAATATAGATGTTGTCCCTTGCCTGTCAGCTCTTTCTATTTCTGTCTCTTTCTTTGTCACAACAAACCCATAAATCACATTCTTCAAATTAAATCCTTGAAGTGCCTCACATACCAAAGGAGCCTGTCCCAGAAGAAGCACCTGTTTATATACCTGAAGAAGAGGAAGCTATACCTGAAAAAGGTACATTCAGCTCATCATTATCCTTATCAAAGACCTCTTTTAAAAATAAGAACAATAATATGATCTGTGTCATTTGCTTTATGTTCTCTAAAAGCCATGCAATCTGATCTTATGCATGTTTACTCAGGAATAAATTCTGCTAGTCGTACCAAATTCTGGGCAAGCAGAGTTTTGCTCATTCAGTGAGACTTCCCTTTCCCCCCTTTTCCCCATGCACCCCCCCAAATCTGCTCGAATAGTCCCCTGACTTCCGTATGTTAATTTTGAGGGTGCACAGAGGGGCACTGCAGGCGGGAGGAAACGACAGGGAAGTTCCATTGGGTAATCAGTAAAACAGCACTGGAGACAATGAACGATTACTCCCAAGTGAATGGACATAGGACTGCAGACATACTTTTAATTGCAGTCTAAATACTTCTCTTTCTTGATCTGGTTTCGTGCTGCAATTTTCTTTATAACGCCTCTGAAAATAATTTTACAAACCTGTTTCTAAAGACATAAATAACAGCACTTAAGTATTTAAAGATAACTGTTTCTATGTAAAGATATTTGCATAGCCATACTCTAGAAGTGTGCCATCCAATGTTGGAGGCAAACCATGTGAACTGGTTTTGAAGAAGACATTGGGTAGGTATCCAAGATCAACCAGCCTGCCTGCTGGTTGTTGATAGTTGGGTCAAGAGGTCACGCCCCGACATGCATCAAGTGTGATGCTCCCTGCAAGGCCGCCTCTCAGTGGGGTGCTATGGCCCATTGGCCTCCATGTGACCTCTGGACAGCAATATCCCTTCCCAGACCCCTTTAACAGGGTAAGGTAAAGGTAAAGGGACCCCTGACCATTAGGTCCAGTCATGACCGACTCTGGGGTTGCGGTGCTCATCTCGCTTTACTGGCCGAGGGAGCCGGCGTACAGCTTCCGGGTCATGTGGCCAGTATGACTAAGCCACTTAGTCATACTGGCGAACGAGAGCAGTGCACGGAAATGCCGTTTACCTTCCCGCCAGAGCGGTACCTATTTATCTAGTTGCACTTTGACGTGGTTTCAAAATGCTAGGTTGGCAGGAGCAGGGACCGAGCAACGGGAGCTCACCCCGTCGCGGGGATTCAAACCGCCGACCTTCTGATCGCCAAGTCCTAGGCTCTGTGGTTCAACCCGCAGCGCCACCCGTGTCCCATTTTAACAGGATAAAGGTAAAGGGACCCCTGACCATTAGGTCCAGTCGTGACCGACTCTGGGGTTGCGGCACTCATCTCGCTTTATTGGCCGAGGGAGCAGGCGTTTGTCCGCAGACAGCTTCCGGGTCATGTGGCCAGCATGACTAAGCTGCTTCTGGCGAACCAGAGCAGCACACGGAAATGCCGTTTACCTTCCCGCTGGAGCAGTACCTATTTATCTACTTGCACTTTGTGCTTTCGAACTGCTAGGTTGGCAGAAGCTGGGACTGAGCAACGGGAGCTCACCCCGTCACAGGGATTCGAACTGCCAACCTTCTGATTGGCAAGTCCTAGGCTCTGTGGTTTAACCCACAGTGCCACCTGTGTCCCTAACAGGATACCCAGTTGTAAAAAGCTCCAGACCCGATTCCTTAACCTTAACTCATGATCTGATTTGGTATAATGACACTTCTTTGAACACTGTGGGATTTACTCCTAAGTAAACATGAATAGGATTGATGTGTATTGTTTAGTTATCACAAGCAAAGGCCCATATACTGTCTCGCGAATTGTGATATGGCATGGCTGCTGTTCCGAGAGGAATAGTCACAAATTCTGTTACGCAAGCCCTAAAGCAGATTCATGGATTGTGGCCTATGCTGTGACCTGTGTTTGTGCTCCCCGCCCTGCCCCAACCCCAACGTGAGCTATGTTTCTCTTTCCGAAGTGGATTAAAAACAAAATTCTTAATCCGAAAATATGTGTTTAAAGTCCCAGAAGTGCCAAAGAAAGTCGTCCCAGAAAAGAGAGTCCCTGCAGCTGTTCCCAAAAAAGTGGAGCCTCCTCCAGCAAAAGGTACAGTGAGTAACAAAGAATTAGTGTATGTTTTCTTCAGTTGTACTAACAAGCTGACCTTCCAGAAGAGAAAAGAAACTTCTTGTTTCCCAGTGAATTCAGGGGGATTTAAACTGTGTGCAGGAAATATTTCAAAATGTATATAGTACAACATGTTTGTCCTGTGTCACTTTTGTCTGTTTGCAATGTATGGAAAATGGCTTCCTGGCAGAATATTGTCTGTTGGGTTCTTGAATTGCTGAATTGTTTGTTCTGCGAATTTCTTGCTTTTTGTACACATCTTCCTGTTCTTGGTGCTTCTTGGTGTTGTGTTAGCACTGAAGATTTTTTTTTAAAGCAAAACATATTCTCAAAACACTATCGTGCTTTTTTTTTTTTAAGTGGCTGAGGTTCCTAAACCCGTCCCTGAAGAGAAAGTGCCCGTTCCCAAAAAGGTGCCGTCTCCTCCAGCAAAAGGTATAGCCATATATCAAAACCAGAATGCTTTTGACACTTACTTAAGTCTAGAAATTATCATTATGTCTCAGAGCATTGAAACACATAGCTAACAATGCTGTGAAGTCTTACATGTTTGTGTGTGCGGTGGCTTTAAATTAAGTC